GGAATTAATGAGCGCGTTTTATTATCAAATTACATGGAAAACCTTTCACGCGCATCCAATTACGCAGGGCGAACAAAGTGTGTCGCGAGAAATGATCGATGCAGATAAAAGTAGATAGGGTTCGTAACATTTGAATGACATTGCAGCGCCGCGTGATATAATACCGTATGATCGCATGCAAATTTGCAATTATTCATATGCACATGTTGCGTGCGAAAATTGAAGGAAAAATTAGGAAATTCCTCTCTATTTTGCTCTCCTTGTAAATTTAAATAATTTAATTTTAATATTATTAATATTTTAATATTATTAATATTATTAATATTATTTAATATTATTAATATATATTGGTGCAATAATATTAATATAATAATACCAATATATTAATAATACTAATAAAACTATATTAATAATATATATATCAGGTTTGGATAAGTTGATGATTTTTAAAACTAAGTTAAGTTAAAGTTAGTTGCTTAAAAATTCATTTAATTAAGTTAAAAGTTTATGAACAAAAAATTAAAGTTAAGATTAAATTAAAATTTTGTGTTAATTTTTTTAAAATTTATAACAACAAAGAAATTTTGATTTTTATATAGAAATATATTTTTTTTGGTAATTACAATTGATGACAAATGAACATAAAAATTAATAATACTTCAATTTAAAAATAATACGTCTATAACTTATAAAAAACAATAATGGTATTCAGAGATAAAAAATAATTTAACTTAGGAAAAAGTTAATAAGTTTAAGGTCAAAAATTCAAAATGAATATATTTTAAATTAACTAAGCTAAGTTAAAATTTATTGACTTTTTAACTAATTAACTAGTTATCACCCAACCCTGATATACATATATATATTAATAATACTGAATTATTTTATTAATTCAAGAGAGAAGAGGGATTCTTTGAGTTAATTAATGATTCGTTGATATCGATGGATGATTTATTCGCGATCGCGCTTAAAGTCGATCAGTCGTCGTGAATGAACTCAAGGACTCCGATTGCAGTGGCTGAATCTCCTTAAAAAGATTTAGAACGAGGACACATTGGGCGCGCGTGCGTGCCCGATAAAGTGCGAACGGTCTCTTCGAAGAAGGGTTATTTATTTTTACCATACCACGTGTCTGCCTGCTTTCGATCTCTAATGAAAATCAAATTTCGGATTCAACGATTCGTTCGATTTGTAATTCAATCTGAAAATCACGAAAAGAAAGAAAATGCAACCTCGTGATAAAAATACGGGTCATCGTCTCTAAATTTTTATTCATTTCAGACTACTATGAATTCATCCGATTCGCGAATCGATCATTGTTGCCTGCAAATTTTTCTTTACTTTTCCTGTGAACCAAAATTCGTGTCGAGAGTATAAAAAAATTTCTTCCGATGAAGGAACTGTTTATTTTGTAAATTTTATCTTTGTAATTGATTCATTTATTTCTCGTTCACGCTTTTATATGAAGGATGACGCAAGGTAAAAAAAATGCTAATCTCTACGCAGGAACGGTAGATACTTTTCCTCTTTATTTCTCAAGAATTCCGCGTTAATTGACGCTATCAAGGCCACGGTTGTTTCCCATTTCGCGAGATAAAACGCGACAGAGAAATCCTTCGAAAGATCCGAGATCGGGACGATATAATGAAACATGTAGTATAAAAGTAGTTATTTTTATATGATAATTGGAGTATTCGGGTTAATAGTAGCAGGGCGATGTCGCTAAAAATAACTGTCATTTCAATCGCGTCATTATAAGCGTTGAATAAAATTGGCCGCTTAATTTTGTCTCGAATTCATAAAATAAAAAAATTGTCATTAAATTCTAGATTCTCTCTCCACATATTAATTAACTTTGCACAAATATTACACAGTAGAAAAATTTGTCTTCTTGTTGAAAATTGTCCCCGTTAAAATTTTTGTGTTAAATATTTAACACATTCATGTGTTAATTTAACTTATTACTGTTTTGTTAATTGAACTTAAATGTTAAATTATTAAAATAACTGAAAAAAAAAAAATAAAAATAACAATGTGCATCTATTTTTAATTTTACACAATAAATATGTTCTGCTTTATTAGTGACAAGATTTATCTGTTAAAATTTACAGAAAAATGTTGATTTTCTATTTTATAATATAAGTGGGGATCTAAATTAATTTTTACATTAAAATTGTGTTAATTTCGCACAAAATTAATTTTAAATTATTTGAAGTTTTGCATTTATGTTGTGTTAAAATAACACAATATTTGTGTCTCCATTTAACATATCCATATTATATTAAATCAACACAAAAATGTCTGTGGACCGTTCAAGACACGTATAATATCTGTTACATTTAACAGAAAGTGTTCAACTATGTACAAGCTCTTTATACGATAATCTTATTTAAGCCTTTCATTTTGACATTTACTGGAGGCTGGGAGAAAGAGATAATTTTCCGAGAAGCGCGTATCATTTATTCTTAGCCGCGCTTATTTACGGCGTAAAAATGGCGATGTCGGAGCACTTTTTTACTCACACCATCTAAATATATCATGCGTATATATGGCGTCGAGACGCCAACGCGTTCGTCGCATCCGCTCCTGATTATCCGATTCGCGTAAGACGCGACGTCGCGCTTGTAAAAAGAGTAATAAATTCCACGAATGTACGACTGTCGTGCGAATATCGATTGACGCGATAGATCGCGTGAGACACGCGGCGATTGTTGCACTTAGACGCAAACAAGCATCTTCGAGGCTCGTACTCGTCCGTACCAGCTCAATTAAAATCGCAACTTGGAACGATCGAAAGTACACCTTTGTCGCAATCATTTAGTTTTTTATTCACTTTATTATTTATTATTTTATATTTTTATTTGTATTTCATTATTTTTAAACGATGACCAGGTAAGCAAAAAAATGTTTTCTTAGATCGATCTGTAAGAAATTCTTCTTCAGTTGTTTCTAAAATGGGATACGGTTTTTTTTATTGCTACAATAAATCGACAAAATGTAGAAATACAAATTTAAATATAAAATAAGCTGATAAGAGTCAGGTGCAACAAAATTATTTTTAAATTCCTATAGAAAACTTGTAGAAATTTTCAAAAAATAGGAGTTAAAAAAAATGTGTATTTCCTATAAAAGTATAATATATTAAATTTTGCATCTAATATCTGTGCCTTGGTTCTTATCAGCTATTTTTATACCTGGGAATTGTATTTTTTACTGCGTCATTGCATTAACATATGATTATTAAGTGGTCGTTGTAATTTTAACATTCACTATTATTTCACCTCGTATTATTAGCGTCAAGAAAAGATGTCGGAAATAAAAGAATGAAACACACACGTTTCGCGTGAAACGTTCCTTCAAAATTGGACGTTGAAACAAGACAAATATTTCTGGTGCATGTCGCAATATACCCTCTCTCTCTCTCTCTCTTCTCTTTTAGCATACTTCGCAATTTCCTCGCGACCTGCAGTCTCTCCCAATTGCAGTAAACAACATTGAAGTAATAACTGTGGGAGACGCAGCTGTTCTACGCGCTCGACCGCTTCGTTCTGTTCAATTCATTTTACTCGGAATTATTTTTCCTCGGACGCCTTTATCATTTTTTCTCATTTTTTCATCACAATTTATACTATCTCCAGCGATGGGCAGCGCGAGATATTAAATCGTATCAAATAGCCACTTGGCGCGAAATTATGGCGCGGAACGCAAATATATTTCTCGGAGTATAAGAATCGGTTATTATCAACTTTAGAAACGTGTATAATTATCGAAAGAAAAATAAAACCTCCCGAGATGACAGACGGCTGTCCGGACGATTGATTCCGGTTTGTGCGTTATGACATTGTGACGTCAAGCTTGCGCATTTGCTCCGTTCTGTCGGATCGCCAATTATTGCTCCTATCCGGCCGATCGTGTAGCCTAACTTCCCGTTTCTCGCCGCCGTAGATTCTAAATATATTCTATCCTTCATATCGCGGAGTTTAATCACTATACTTTATTAACAAATCTGTCCATTCAATTAGATATTTTTTAATCATTTGAATAAATTTTTTATACTTATATAGCCATTGCTTTTTGAAATGAATTATTAAATTCATAATGTCAAAGTATCGATTGAAAAATAAGAATAAAAAAATTAATACTTCGATTTATAATTATACAATAATTCCTTTAAAATATTATGTACACATGATTGTGCAGCAATTTCTTATTCTAAGATTCTGACGATGAATCTAACTGGATTATCGATTGGGAAAATTTTCTCCCGTGTCACTTTTGTCGTCAAATTGTCCATTACTCCGTCTCGGTTATCGCGAGAAATCGAGGTTAATCCTCGCTTCATCCGCACTGATCTCGAACACCGTCGACAGGCTTGACGTCGACGTATTAAATGGACACCCGATCCCCTCGAAGAGAGAGAGTCACATCGGCGAGAGCCGAGAAGACAATGCAGGCGTGTAACGCAATTATCGATTCGTGTCATAGATTGGCTCTAGTCATCATTCAATAATCAGTCGCGCAGAATCGAGTGATTGCGAGCTCAAGGACAAAGATCGAGCCGAGTCTTTTGTCGCGTATCTTTCCCGAGGATATTACAAATAATACAAAATTAACACTCGGTTGAAAGATTTGTGTTAAATTTGACAGATGTCCCAAACACAGAAAAAATATGTTAATTTTAGATTTTATCATCCCTTATATTATCAAATAAAAAATCAACATTTCATTCTGTAAATTCTAACAGATAAACCTTGTCACTAATAAAACAAAATACATTTATAATAATTTAACATTTAAGTTCAATTAACACAACAGCAATATGTCAAATTAACGTTTTTAACAAGGAAACACAAATTTTTCTACCGTGCAATAACTTGGCATTTTGAGAAAATAAAATCACTCACCAGAGAAGAACTCCGATTGTATCATCTCCTTTATCCCTCTTTATCTACCGATGAGGACCGAATCACAATAAGGACCTTCTTCTTTTTATCTTGCAGATGATTCTTACTATAATTACGCTGGATGGACCAGCAAGTCGTCGTTCGATCATCGATCCGTGGATGTCAGATTGATCGACGGCGAGAATATAGCGAGGATACGCCGAGCAGCGATCCCCGAGAAGTCGGTGATGGCGACCGAGCAGAAGGATCCGGTCAAGGAAGCATCGCAGCAGCAGCAGCAGCAACCGCAACAACAGCAACCAGCTGCGCAGCTGACGACGACCGCGAACACGAACACGTCGCACGACGTGTACCTTCCGGCTTCGTCGACCAGCGAGGCTACTGTCCAGTTCAAGCCCACCGAAGCGATTTCCACTGTCCAACCGCTCAAAGACACTTCCGACGTCACTTCCGTCCCCAAGGATTCCAAGAAAAAGGCGACGCAGGCGGTGAAAATTGATGATGTGGTAGGTGATGAACGAGGATATAAATGATCTCCGGTTCTAGAAAAATAAAACAGAAATGCGTTTGTTAGTTATATCCCAGCAAACACCGATATATAATTGTTACATTGCTATAATAAAACGGAATATAACGTGAACGTTACATGTAACATCCATGTTAGTTGTAATTTCCCACTCATAGATGTAACATTTTAATATAACATATATTACATTGTAGTTATATTGTCATTATATACCAAATAGCACATTGATGTATTGATAAGTCAGTGCTATCTTGGGATATAATGACAATATAACTACAATGTAATATATGTAATATTAAAAATGTCATCTAACATCTATGAGTGGGAAATTACAACTAACGTATACGTTACATGTAACATGCTTAAGTATATAACATTTATATACTGTGTTTGCTGGGATGTGACTTTTGGGGGAAAACACGTTTTAACAATCTATACAATTCGCAGGCCACAGTCTGGCCGAATCGCACGATGCCGATTCGCAACGTCACCAGCAAGGAGCAGCCATCGGCGGACAAGAGCAACAACCAGACGAAGCAGACGGAATTGCCGAAGAACGCGACGAGCGGCGTGGAGAACGCCGACAAGCCCGATGACATTGGCGACATCTCCATCAGCAAATTCTCCGACGTGACCCTCAACACCACCCTCACGCAGAACAACATCACCAAGACGGTCTACGACACGCATCAGTATTACAACAGCACCTTCATCGTCGACGCCAATATCTGCAACAAGTATTGGGTCGACATGGACAAACATCCGGAACTCAGGGTCAATCCTCTGCTCAGCCAGAGCCATCGACGAGCTGCGGTGAGAGTAGTCACGATATATGAAAATAAGGAAAAATTAAATATATATACAGGGCGCTTCAGAAATAGTTGGCCACACTTTAAGAGCGCGTTAAAAAAGTCATATAAATATGTAAACGTGGGTTCGGAAACGCTTCCTTTCCAAGTTATAAACGTTTTCTTCTATTCACCTTTTAAAGTGAACAAAAAGTTAGTAGATAGGTCTGTATGGAATCAGTCTTTATTTAAGCATTTAAGAGTGACGATAGTATTCCTCAACATGGCAGCTTATTCTAACAGATTGGCAGATATCCACATGTATGGACGAGATAATGGAAACTACAGAGAAGCTCAACGTCTCTATCAACAAATCTTTCTTCAAACGATGTCCTGCTAAAAATACCTTTAGTTCTGCCTGTAAGTAAAGTAAATAAAAAATGTTTATAACTTGGAAAGGAAGCGTTTCCGAACCCACGTTTATACGACTTTTCATCCTTACGGTGGAATATGCTCTTAAAGTCTGGCCAATTATTTTTGACGCACCCTGTGTATATATATTATTTTATTTATTTTTTCTTATATATATATTTTAATTAATTACTTGTATATAAATAATAAATCGCTATACAATATATATATATATATAAAAAAAAAAAAAAAAAAAAAAAAGAAATCGATAGAAATCGATGTTCTTCAGAGGATAAATTTCCTAAAGGAAAATTTCACGCGACTCGCGTTGCAGACCGTCAAGCTGAAGTTCGATTTCCCTTTTTACGGATACAACGTGCGCAACATCACCATCGCCACCGGCGGTTTCCTGTACACGGGCGACTACGTGCACAGCTGGTTAGCAGCCACCCAGTACATCGCACCGCTCATGGCGAATTTCGATACCCGCCTGTCGAACACCAGCTACGTCAAGTACGCTGACAACGGTGAGTCATCGGATTCTCCGACGAAGAGCGAATCCGAAGGACGTTCGTTTTTGCATTTTTTTTTCGTATGAGAGTCGAAGCCAATCGCCATTCGCTTTCGCGATTTTCTCTCGCGATAGTTTCATATACCTCGCGCTTTTTCAAGAGAAGAGATCTTGTTACAATAAACGAAGGTTTCAAAGAAATTTCAACTCGAGAAAATTTCATCGATTCCTTTGAATTCTCACCGAACGTGTCGCAAAATACACAGTAGGAAAATTTGTCTTCTTGTTAAAAAACGGTCCCTGTTTAAATTTTTGTGTTAAATATTTAATATATTTATGTGTTAATTTAACATATTGCTGTTGTGTTATAATTAAACTTAAATGTTAAATGATTAAAACCGCTGAAAAAAGTACAATGCGCATCAATTTTTAATTTTACACGATAAATATGTTCTATTTTATTAGCGACAAGATTTATCTGTTAAAATTTACAAAAAAATGTTGATTTTTGATTTTATAAGTGAGGCTAATAAAATCTAAATTAATTTGTAAATTAAAACTATGTTAATTTTACACAAAATTTAAAATATTAGCACAGTATTTGTGTCTCCATTTAAGATATATCCAAATTATGTTAAATTAACACAAACATTTCTGTAGACCGTGTGAGATATCTATAATAATTTAACATAAATTTTTCAACTGTGTAGAGATCAATTAGCGGAACAATTTACGTTAGAATCTCTTAGCAGCGACAAGATGTTTATTACGATTATTAAATATTTCCTCTGAAATTGACACGCGATGCAGGTACGGCATTTACGGTCGAATGGGACAAGGTGGTGCTACAGGATCGTCCGGAGGCCGGCGCCTTCACTTTCCAGGTGACCTTGCATCAGAACGGCGACATCGTGTTCGTCTATTCGGTGATACCGCTGGTGATTGAAAACATTGAGGACACGATGCATCCTGTCAAGGTCGGACTCAGCGACGCCTACATCATGGACCGAACTGTCTTCTGTGAGTGCGACTCTTGTACCGTTTATAGACGGGTGGTTACGTAATGATTATCGCGTAATATAATCCACATCATCGCTATTAAACGTCGAATGCAGGAAAACTGCCAGATGGACGAAGAGAGGGAGAAAAAAGAGATAATTGGCTCTCGTTAGCTTAGTATCAAAACTCCCAGAAACAATTTATATGAAATAATCAATGCAAATTTTATAATTAAAAATCTAGGCTCGGATTAAAGAACGTTACAACGCATGTAAATGTGCAAAATATGATGTAAACAGAGTTATCATCATGCGAAAAGTCATGCGTGAATCATCCGTTGTAAATATCGAGAACTTTGTATCTGATAAAAAGATAACTCTTCAAATATATTTCGAAATTTTATTTTAACATATATGTAAAAAATACATATATACATTCTTTAAATAAGATATAAATAAAGACAAATTCCATATCTTATTTAGAAAATTTATATAAGTTTTAAAATTAAAATAAAACCTCGAAAGTTATCTTTAGCTACAAGCTTGACATTTATACCGTCTCTTATTTGAAGCATAGCATCTAGTTATTTTTACATATAAAGACACTTAAAGATACCTAAAAATACCCAATCCGAGAATTCGAATCATCGATCTTTCTCGCTTTGCAGTTGTGCGCCGAAAGACCATCTACGAATACCATCGCGTGAATTTCAACCGGCAGGACATCGTGAACTGCACGGTCATCTATCTGAAAGCACTGCCCACGTGTCTGAACTTTGACAACTGTCGGGACTGCCTGACGAAGGTGCCCGACTTCGACTGCAAGTGGTGCTCGGATCTGAACAAGTGCAGCACCGGCACGTCCCGACAGCGGCAGGAATGGCTCCTCAAGGGTTGCGATGTGCGTAATATCAAGGAGGCGGACAACTGTCCAGCGCAGATCACGAACTACAAGGGAGAGGAGTACGACCATGACGGTCACGTGCACCCCGACGAGTCGATCACCGCCAACGAGATGAGCGCCAAGCAGGAGAGACCCGGTACCAGTCCCTTAGAGAGCACCAGTAAGCCTTTCGCGATTGGTGTCATATTTCTGTCGATGCATCACTTCCATCTATGCACCCAACTGCATTTTTCACATTTTACATTTTTATATATTTATGTTTTTATTTATATATTGTTTTATATATATTTATGTATAATTATATATAAATTATAAATATATAATTAGAATATAAAATTATATATATACGATATATATAATAATTATATATATATATATATATATATATATATATAATATATATATTATTATATATATTTTATGTTTTTATTTATATATTTATTTTATATATATTTATGTATAATTATATATAAATTATAAATATATAATGATAATATAAAATTATATATATTATATATATTTTTATAACAGCTGCTGGACGTCTTTCTCGCTTCCAAATACAAAGGCTCTTTGTATTTGGTTTCAGGCGGAGCAAATTTTTAAGTTAACATGTAAAATTGCTTTGGGATTGTTCATTGACAGAAGGGTTGATAAAATTGCGCGACATAAATTCTTATAAAAAATATTGTTTTAAAGAATCGATCGAGATTAATTTTCGCGACTATTTCAAGTCGACACACTGAAAAAAAAAAAACTATTAAATTAATAAATATTTATTTCAATACTGCCTAATAAATCATTTACTTGATACAAATAAATGATTTGTTTTGAAAAGAATTTTCTCACATCGAATACATATTTTTCACAGCAAATCAATATTGCTAGTTCCAAATAAATGATTTATTTGGCAATATTGAAATAAATACTTCTCCAAATTCAATAAATTTTCGAATTCGTAGACGAAATAATCGATCCTATATTTTTTCTAATAATTCCTTTTTTCTAAATATAATAACCAAATTTTCAAGCGACTTGTTCCGTTTAATTTTCAGCTCCGAACAAGATGAATATGGGCGTTTCGGGAATAATCGGCATTCTCACTATCGTCGCTTTAGTTGCGGGTCTCGCAGCTTGGGGTGCATATGCCTATCGCAATCCCCATAGTGCATCGGGACAGATGCTGATCAGGGTAAGAAGAAAATTAAATATATTTATAAATATATATTAAATATTAATATATATGTATATTTAATATATATTATATTAAATATTTATAAATATATATATATTAAATATTAATATATATGTATATTTAATATATATTATATTAAATATTTATAAATATATATATTAAATATATTTTAAATTATTACATCATGATAGCGTTACGCAAGTGATCTTATCGCTCTTTCATATATACGCTTATTGTATTTATTATTATAATCGATCTTGATTACCGGTTGCAATACTGATCACTTATTCATTATCTATCGATTCTATCAGAGAATATTAAATATAGATTCTTATTAAATGTTTTTTTTAATTGCCGAGACACGACGGTCATTTCATTCGGAATATCGATTATTGATTCGATTGCGTTAGAATATCTTCTCGATTATTTCATCTGATTTTTCGGGACTTTCAGTATCGCCCGAGCCAATGGAGCTGGCGAAGAGGCGAAGCCCGTTACACAGCCGCGACCATTCATATGTGATGAGGTGTCGACGAAGAGACATCAAGTCAGAGTCAATTGCGAAAGTGTCGGACCAAACTTCCTATTAATTGTGTACAGCGAATATATACCGAGTCTGCGCGTATATATATATAAAAAAAAAAAAAATATATATATATATATAAACTCGCGAGAACGCGCAGAACTCGTCAGGTTTTGCACTCAATCGCGTAAATACGGACAATCATTTCCATTTCATTTACGACGTTTACGTCGACGCGAAGAAATCGATTCAACGCCGACAAACACGACGAGAGAACGTTTATTCTGTCCTCTCTCTTTAAGAATTGTGGTATATTTTTGACTATATATATATATATATACAATATATGTCGTGCGCAATCTGAGAATTAAAATTCTGTAATTAGATGTGGAAAAATTTCATTCGCGGAAATTCTCTGAATTTTTACCCAACTTGAACGAGTTTGCGAAATTTGATCGCGAACGATTCGAATGTGACATGAATTCATATACAAAATTAATACCTGCACGGATCGTATCAAATGGGGTTTTCGGGATATATTGTGAGAATCGTGACCTTCTTCAAAACCATATACAATCGATGATCCAAGCTGCAGAGAGATAGAAACGTCGTATACGAAGGCGATCGTATAATATATCGAGACATCGGACGATTTTCGAGATCGTCCGTCGAGCATTTATGTGATTCTTAGCAGCACGTGGTACACCTTGTTATTGTTTAAGAATTCGTTTTTCTTTTTTTATCGTCGTTAGACAAATTGCAGCAATCGTTTTATATACGTACCTAATGTTCGCGCGATAAAGAGGACAGCGTTTTGGAGAGAGAAAATGTAGCAAAAAAGGGAAGAAAAAAAATTATCGAACGTTTCAATCTGGCGTGCTGAAACTACAGTTTGATGAGCTCCTCGAGCAGCCGAGGGAAAAAAAAGAAGAAAATTTGATCTTCGAAATTATTTAGAATTTAAATCGATCGGAAATTTCTCCTAAAATTATTACATTTGTATTGTTGCAGCTACACATTCCAAAACATAATTTGGAGATGACTGCGGAGGTGTCATGTACAAACTGTAATTTCATCGTCGCAATTTATACACATATCATACCATAAAATATATATAATAAATATATATATATAAATGATTATATAGGTATTACATAACGTTTTGTATCACATATATAATTATTTTATATATATATATATATATATATATAAATATACAGATATATTTTACGAAGAGATTTTTTTAAAAGAGATCACACACATTTTTTAAATACGCGTAAAAACGGCAAACTGATAAAAGATGAAGAATAGCACACGATATAAAGATTTTATATAGCATCTAAAATATTATTATAGATCGTGAGTGTATATAGTAGTTGTACGAGGCAGTATAATTTTTATCTAATTTTAAGTGTATATTCACACTTTCAAAGGGTGCCTTCTTCGTAAAAACTTTCGATATATATCATGTATAATAGTAAATAAGCAACGAAGAGAGAACCTGAGAAGGGGAAAGAAAAATCTCATTGTAAATCGCGACGAGAGAAACGTCGTTGATCATTCACGCGGTCCGATTCCCAAAAGATTCGTCTCGGTCCTGTTTGCGAAATTCGAAGGGAAACGCAATTGTAAAAAGTCTGAACGAAAATATCGGTCTGCAACGAGACTTTATTGTCACGTTGACGTTTGAACGATCAATGCGTTTCATCGAACGACGGAGTGAATTATTGTCAAATGATTGTGAACAGCTTTTCTTACATTATTGTGTACGATTTAATTCATAGTTTGTGATAATAAATATTATAGTTATTATAGTACGATGTGTTTTTGTGACAAAAGCAAACCTGCTTCCCCAAAAAGAATATCTCGCGATATAAAATAAACGATACGTAAGAATAAAATAAAGTGTCCATTTGACGAAAGTTATTACTTGAAAAAAAAAAAAAAAAAAAAACGAAAAATATACATATTTTACAATGTAATTCGCTTCGGAAAATTATGTATATTACAAATACTTTCAGCCGATAAACAGGCTGCAGTTTCATCTTGCGATTGCCAGATGACACTGAATGTATCAAACCACGATTCACGATAAACCACGTATACACATTACAATATAAATTGCAATCAATGAAATCTCGAAAGTTATATTTAAAAAAATTATTATTAAAGAAAGACAAATATATATATTTGCTGAGAAATAAAAAAATTTTTGAAATTAAGATATAGTATATGTTATATTAGTAATAATATAGTATATATTAGTAATAATATCTCGCATTTTTTTCTCGTTACTTTTTTATTGATATTAAAAAATAATCAATATGGAATAAACATATAGATATTAAATACGTTAAAAGGATAGATTTATATGATGAAAACGTGATGTATAATAAAAATAATATTAAATATTATATATCCACAAATATATGAGACACGTGCGAAGAGAGTCAGGCGCAGTTGCACTTTCGTTTCATAAATTATATACGTATAATTCTGTTTATGTAATAATTTGGTTTACAAACTATATGAAAAATGTATATCAAAATTTCCATTTATATAAAGCCAACAAATTTTCACTGCAATCTCTTTTCGTACATTAATTTTCATTTATAAATATTTATACTTTTATATGTATAAATATTTTATATTTTCCTTACATATTTTTCGTGGTAAAAACAAAGAATTCTAAATTCAGTTATTCTTAGCATGTCGTCATATTTACTAGACAAGATATTCTTTTTGAATTTCTTTTTTCTCACATTAAAAAAAAAAAAAAAAAAAAAGTTAAGCAACTCCTTAAATCTCCATCATATTCCGTACATGTCACTTTCATTGTTCCAAATCGTCGTAGCCCTTGGCGTTAAATTCTGTGTCGTCAAGCTAGACGTGCTGAAGCCACTTAACTTCGCGACGAGGAAACTGCGACGAGTGCATCTCCGATGCATATCGTGTACAGCGCATGTCGGGGCATACAGAACATGTCAAAACGCATATGCGTTCTCACGGAGCCTTTGACAAGTCGCATCGGGGACTTTTCTCGCGCGAATCATGCAAAAAAAAAGACAAAAAAAATCTGAGCTCTTATTAATTTAATTATTAATAATGAATTTATTATATAACATAAAATATATATTAATTAATATTATATATATTTTATATTATATATTATTTATATTATTATATATATTATATGTATTATATTATATTAATATATTATATATGTTATACATATATATAATATATATAATATATATATATATATATATATATATATATATACGATATATAATTAATAAAATATATTAATATTCATAACATGACAGACAGAGAACAGAACTATAGAATCGGTTTTTACGAACTATTCGATATATATGTATATGCATGACATTTCTCGTGCAATCTTACCTCATCCTTTCCGAAAATTTGCTAAAAGGAGTATATAATTGCGTCGTAATGAGAGTATTCTGCACGAGCGAAAGCTGAATGCACGTAAGGTGATTAAATAATTACATCTTTAGCCGGATTTGTAATTTTGTGTTTATTTGTATGTCACGACCGATTTGTAGATTCGTCGGATTTTGCTGGTTTCTCTCTTACCCGATGCTTATTTTATATACCTATTAAAATAATATTACATTGAACGTATTCGTGTATAAAATTAAGGAAAAGAGAGTACTTTAGAATTTGCAAATTTGGAGTGGGAATTTGTCAAGTGCAAAGAGAGAGAGAGAGAGAGAGAATTACGTAAATCAAATGATATGATCAAGTTAAAGTAGTTTGTTATTTTTTACTAAAATAATTGCAATTTGTACTAAACAGTTTTAACAAAATGATACTCGGAGAATAAAATGTACGATAAATTATTTCTCTCGTAATATTTGCAGTATAAAAATTAATCAAACATAATATTATTTATTAAACATAAATATATGTTTCTTTCTCTCTTATGTCATTTTTTTTACCGCAACAAAATGTTTCGGTTGCGGATTTATATTCTACGAGAAATTCTGTGAGAAATTTCGGATTATCTTGAATTTATGACTCGCCAAAATAGCTCTCTCTTTCTCAATACTGTATTATTCCCGATGCTTCATTGTATATGCATCCCACCAAATGCAATTTTATTCGAATTTGCGATATTATCGTTTTGTTACACAAAGGAGGAAAAAAAGTGGCATCCCTTCCGTTTCCCAGATTTATTCGCGTGGATTTTTAAAACCTGGTTTTATTCGCGTTTTTATCGAGTCTTTTCTACAACGAAGGGGATTTCCGGCGCGTAGAAACGCATCTCGCTTCACCTCGGCTATACGTGACAAAAGCCGCCGCTTTTCGGTGCATCGGGGATGTTACACTTTTTATCACGCCGTAAAAACCTTTTATAGTCGCGCGGATTTCTTTCCTCTACGTCGATACTTTTTACAGCGGAGGATTATACATATATTTCGCGGTTTAATTATGGAGACGTTCAAAATTGAAAAAGCAATTTCTCGCTAAATATTGATTATTACGAACACTTGACCTTGCTACTATAATTACGCCGACCATCCGTTCTTTATTTCAGAGGACAGTGTTTTATTTCGAGTAGCTGTCCTTTAGATTTATGCATTTTTCCAAAACTTATTTTGCCCTTTATTTTTTATTTAACGTTTCAAAACAACAGAATCTCTTATCTGATTATATAAAAATAAGAACGTAGACTTCTGATAGTCACAGAATTATTTTTTTGTCCATCTCCACTTTGCAAACATGTTCGAAAAAAGTTCTAAAATTTCGTACTTAATTTTTTCTCAAAAAATATGGTCACCGTGATTATAATTGATGCAGTAGTATAGACATAATTAATTAACATTTTTTCCTTCAATCTTTCAAACTGTATTAAAATACTATATAAGATTCGAGAGATGTAACTTGAGTTTGATGGAAGGATTAATTATTTAAAATAAATATGCTCTCAATTACGAATAAAATAATTCGCGTTGAATAAGAATCCAACACAGAATATATTATTTGGCTTTAATTGTCGACACATTTTCGCTTACAATAATTGCATAAAATTTATCAAGATATTAAATTAATATTTAATAAGTTATTTTATTTATTCTATTTTTTTTTAATTATATTAAAATTTATTTAATAATTTTTTATCATTGTTTTCAAATATTAATTTAATTATATTAACTATTATCTCTCTATTTACTCACGATTTATTGCTCATTTGATATTTTTATAGAAATTAATAATTTTATACTTATATGTATATGCACGGAAAGAAAATAAAAAAAAATCTTTATATTTTCCATTATTCATAAAGAAAATGAAAATGTGAAAAGCAGGTCTGCGCAATGTTTCATCTTTTTTCAAGTGTGTGTGTGTGTGTGTTTTTGCAAACATCAAGTTCTATCGAAGGATTTCGAAGCGACGTCCCGGATTGCGATAGCGATATTTTATGATGTCGCCGTTGCAATATCAGGATATCGATTACGAATATCGTGCTGACTCTATAAACGCGATGGCACGTGCAATATTGTCGCTGACGTTTATGCTGATTATGTCTCAAGTGGCAATTGAAGCTTCTTCGAGTGAAACGTAAAACTGTCACACCGAAATAAAGCACAAACATTGATTATAATTGATGAAAATTGAAATGCATATGTATCGACATTATAAAATATTTATTCTTTCGCATTTATAGCCCTATCTCTCTCCCCCGCATAATTACGTCACTATTAAATTCAACTGCGAGTGCAAGATTAATAACGTGTCAACGATTATTTATTATATAAAAATATTTTCAACTTTGTCAAATAATTATCAATATATTAAAAATATATCAATGTAATACAAATACAGCTGCGCGTAGTAATCTTGAGAAAATTACGATTGCT